ATCTTTAGGGAGCGAGACGTACACCAATGGGGCGCATGTCCATCTTATAGGGGAGACAACTGAAACGGAACAGAGGGGATGTGGCGAAAAAGGGAAGTGTAATAGGGAGGCCAACATGGACCTTTCTAGAGTTCTCTCTTTACCCGAGATATTGTAGAGAAATCCCTTGGAGCATTTGCTGCTAAGTTTTGTTGAACGTCCATAAATAGTCCAAAGTTGAAGGAGAAGAACTGGCCTAATGGATTTGAAGCTAATGATTCAGCTGTGCAGGTTTATCCTTTGGAGGCATTTATAATGATAATCTCTTCTGTGGGGACATAGCCAGCTTGTGACTTTCTGGGCCTCCTTTCCTTTTTTTTTACTCCAGAGTCATTCCCTCTCAAGTGCAGTATTATGTTTTCTTGATCTGCCTCCTGAAAAAAATTTTAAGTAAGAAAAATACTTCTTGATATTTTGTCTGCTTTTTAGGGATTAGTGTTTGAAGAGGTTTGCAGCTGTTCAGTACATTCCTAAGGGATGCAGACCCTTTTCTTTAAATGCCCAAGTATTACACAACCTGACTCCAGGGGCGGGGAAAGTAAAGAAACTGTACAAACAAATGATAGATGGAAAAGATATAAAGACAAATTTCAATCTCCTAACCAAACGAAGTTCCCTTGGCTCCAGCAGCCCCAAATAAAATAAGGCTGCAAAGCTGTTAAAGCAGGAAACCACTCTAGCAGAACCTTCATATGCTCCCTATGAAATCACGTCTCGTTGACTTGCTTATTTTCCAGCCTGAAGTGTGTTTCATCTTTGTTCGTGTTGGCAGGGAAAAGTGCCTCTATGGTATATGTGTCTTCCCCTCCTACTACTTGCCCTTCACCTCTCCTGCTCCACCACTGCCCCAAAATAAATAAATGAATTAATTAAAACACCTCAGTTGAAAGGAGGAATATGTCCAAGAAAGCATACAAACTCAAAGAACTAAAAATATTGCCTGAAAAACTTCAGTAATAGGAAAAGAGAGTAGGGATCCGTACGAGAAGCATACAACAGTTTAATACTATCTTGAAAGGCTTTTTTAAAATAAAAATTGTGCACAGACTCCCCATACATACAGCAGATCCAAAGCAGTGTTTTATTGGTGTAAATCCACTTTTAAAGTGCAAGTTTATGAAGAGTACTCATTACAGGGTCAGTCAGTGAGAACACTGAGGCTGTGTTCATGACCCCAAAGTATTGAAGTTAGAGGGGGCGCCCGGGTGGCTCAGTTGGTTAAGCGTCTGCCTTCAGCTAAAGTCATGATCCCAGGGTCCTGGGATCGAGCCCCACATCAGGCTCCCTGCTCAGTGGAGACCCTGCTTCTCCCTCTCCCTCTGCTGCTCCCCTTGCCTGTGCTCTCCTGCTCTCTCTCCATCAAATAAATAAATAAAATCTTTAAAAAAAATATTGAAATTAGGAATATGAATCAGAAGTGCAGTTTTATATCAGTTTCAGCATCCAGGTTATTTCTGGTTCTGGTATCAAGGAAATCATGATTCACACAGATGGATTATAATCTTGAGATAGTTTTAAATTTAAATTTAAATTAAATTGGCCTAGGCTCTTGAAAAAGGATATTTTTGTTTTGAAGTTGAATCACTAACATTACCTAGCACCTATTCCCATCCCCCTTCATAAATATTATTGGGGAAGCACAAAAATGTATAATAAGCATAAAAACAATTGATAATGATGGGATGGTATTGAGCATTCTCACTACCCAACCATGGTCTACCGTGAACCCAGCCTAGGCCCCTGAACCTTCTGTGGCATGTAATTGAACTTGGCCACTCTGTGTTAAATCGTGCTCACCTGCACAGCTTTACCTAAGGAGGCACACAGGCTTGAATTAAAAACGAAACCTGTGCAGAGCAACATCCGTTCTAACCAACAGGACATTTTTCAGAAGTTCAGATACACGCATCGGTTCTTTATTCCAGAGTTTGCACGGAACGAAGCTCGCCTAGCAGCCCATGAGATATTGTGATAGTGTCAACCGCAGGGAATCTGAATCCCTTTCACATTAAGTGGAGGTTGCTCATTTGAATGAATGTGTCACAGTTGTTTGAAATTGAAATGTGTTTCTCTGTAATTCCAGAGTTTCTCAGAACACACTTTAAAAACTCCTGCTCACTGAAACCAATAATAGCCATCCCACCACCTGCTCTAAGGATGGAAGGATATGCACTAAAAGTGTGTTACCACTTTAGAACCTCTTCATTTAATTATAAATATATAATTCTGAATATATTTACAAATTTACTAGTTTTAAGGCATAAGGCTTTTTATTTTAAAAGATTTCCACTTTTGTCCATCCTTTTTATTAACTTTTGTTTACTCATCCTTTCTTCTCAGGGTCCCCGTGGGATTTATGCTCTGTACCCTCTTCCATGGTATTCAGTTGGTTTTGCTTCTCCTGCTTCCACCTGTGACCTGCGGTGTACATTTGTGGGCTAGCTGGCCCTTTGTTCATACCACTAATGTTCTGCTGTATTACAGGTCTTTCTTTCTCTCCCACTCTGCACTGTGATATCAGCACTTTTAAAACTAAAAGCCCCTAATACTGTACTTTGTTCATTTCAGATACGAACGTTTATAGGTTTGTGAAAATGAGTTGTAGTACCATATTTAAGTGTGTGAAGCACCCTAAGGAAAGACCTAATAGAGACAACGAACCCATGTCCACCCATAAGAAGCAGACCGAGCTGTTGTCAAGTTCAGATCTTGTGAGATCTACTCTTTTAAAACAGCAAGTGTAATTGCCTGATATATTCCATGCTTACTGAGGACATGGATACTTTGCCACCCAAAAAAATGTAAATTTGATTATTTAGGATTTGGTAACTGAAACTGATTTGGAATGCGTCAGAAAGTTTTCTTGCAGTGACAACACCAAAGGTCACTGAATGCCTGTACTCAGCTTTGAATTTAGGATTGTTTCCTATTATTCACTTTTTTGGGTTTGTTTTTCAGATGCTAAACATTTTGAAGGGAATGGATTAATTACATGTGTATCTCTCTCTCGGCTAGCTTGTGTGTGTGTGTGTGTGTGTATAAATTTGTTTCCATAAAAATCTTCCTATTTCCCTAGAAGAGTAAGAGGACATAATGTTGCGGAAGCGGTCCGAACAGAAGTATTAGGGATTCAGACTGCAGAGAGGGGTGTGATGCCTGGGGCAGACAGAGGTGGGGGTGGGGGCAGATAGAGAACAGTTTCAGTTTGGACTCTAGCATTCATTGGATTGAAGTAGCTTCTTAGTGCTGGTTAGACAGATGTTTGATATAATGGTCTGGGGTGTTCTGAAGCCAGAGGAGGTGTGGCGTGATTAGTTGGTAATTGTTACCTTATTACAGAATTGGAAAAGCCCCTTCTAAAGTTGAATTCCCTGCTCTAGAAATCACAGCCGCGGAAAGGCTCCGGCTCTGAATGCAGGCAGTGCGACTCAAGAACCGAGCCACTGGGCACCTGGGTGGCTCAGTTGGTTAAGCAACTGCCTTCAGCTCAGGTCATGATCCTGGAGTCCCGGGATCGAGTCCCGCATCAGGCTCCCTGCTCGGCAGTGAGTCTGCTTCTCCCTCGGACCCTCCCCCTTCTCATGCTCTCTCTATATCTCATTCTCTCTCTCAAATAAATAAATAAAATCTTAAAAAAAAAAAAAAAAAGAACTGAGCCACTGTCCACTCTCTTTGCATTAAGAGTCTGACTGTAGGGAGGGAAGAGGGCGAAGAGAATGAACAGGTTGTGATTCTTCCCAATGATTAAGACCCTTCTCTACACTTCCAAGGCTTGGTTTTGAATTCCAGCATTGCCACCTTTTAGCTATGTGACCTTGAACAAGATCTTTAACTTTTCTCAGTCAACTTCCCACATCTGCTGAATGTGGTTAATAATACGCCCTTCCTCAGGCTGTCGTAGGGTTCAAGTTAAACAACGTGAGTATAGGGCCCAGCTATGTGCCAAGTGCACAGTAAGCCCTTGATAAATAGTACAACAAACAACCCCTACTTTCAGTTTCTCTTTTTAAAGAAATCCAGCTTGCAGATGTAGAATTTTTCTGTTGCTTAAATCAGTGCTGCGAACTGAGTAGGTAATCAGTCTAGTCTTTTGTTTTCATTAGAAATGAGCACGTAGGTTTGGCATTTCACCACTCCACTCAGGCTGTAGAAGTTTTAGGAATGCACGTATTTGGGTATGGCTTATGCTCTTGGTTGTATGGGCCATGACATAATGGCTCAACCAACGAACTGAAAACCTCCTTAGATGTGTTCTGTGGGCCTGAAGAGGTTTTAGGGACTTTTTTTTTTTCACGGCAAGGGCCTTGAAGGTTGTTGTCTTCACTGAATCCTAATATGAATAATGTGTGGGGATGTGGTCTGTAGTGCTCTCGTGATTTTTGTCTCTAGACCTCTAAGTTTTGTCTCCAACCCTAGATGCAAACCAAATGTCTTAGTGGCTAAGGCTATGGACTTTGGAGCCAGACAGCCTAGACCTGTCCTAGTCAGATGACACAGAGCTGTGTGGTTCTAGTCCCTGACTCCTTCTTATGGTCTCTGTGACTTCTTACTAGCTGTGGGCAAGTGACAACTTCTCTGAGTTTCAATTTTCTAATTAGTAAAATGGGGATAACGGTAGTTCTTTCCTTACAGGAAAATGATGAAACTTACGCGATAATGCATATAAAACATTTACTAAGTTCCTAGAATGTAATAGATGCTCAGCAGATAATCCTGCTTCTCCTCTTTCTTCCCTTTCCCTCTTCCTCTCTCCTCCCTCTTCTTTTCTCATTATTCTTGTTTTCTCCACTGAGTTTTTAGATAGAGAAAACTAGAGGTGCAGACTTCAGGAAAGGTATCTATTTCTGGCTTGGCTTCGATCACTGTGATTTTGTGACATGGATTGTATTCATAGTTGTTGGCCCTGGCTACTCTCCGACACTGATTTTTTTTTTTTTCTTTTTCTTGCTGTTTCTCTGCAGGAAGGATCAGAATGTTCTCTCTCCAGTCAACTGCTGGAATCTCCTCTTAAACCAGGTGAAGCGGGAGAGCAGGGACCACACCACCCTGAGTGACATCTACCTGAATAATATCATTCCTCGATTTGTTCAAGTCAGCGAGGACTCAGGAAGACTCTTTAAAAAGGTATATAGCTATTTCTAGGCACAGAGATACTTGGGTGGAGCAATAATACCATCTTGTAAATAAGAGAAAGACTATTGTATTGGCCTAGTTAAAAGGCTTTCCATTGGTCATTCCCTACCACGATCTCGTGGAGAAAAAGTACTGAATAGTCATTCTTTTCTTCCTTTCTGAGTTGAATTAATAGTAGCCCTGGGAGAGTAACCATTTGCAAGGTACAACCCCACCACTGGCAACATAATTCATAATCTGCATGTTTTAGTGATGACAGTGTTTGCTTGATTTCCTTGAGTGATTTGTGAAGCTGTTGAGATTCGGGGACCTTCAGTGTCATTTCAAGTTTTCCTCTTCTAGTTCATGTATGTTTATGATTTAGTTGAGTTTTCTTTCTAAGCGCTCATCTTGGCCAAGGTGAACTCATGAATTTGGTTCTTCTTGTCATGACATATCTTGGTCTTTGGGTCCCTGAATGCTTTCTGAAGCTCAGTTGTTTGTCACAATTCCTTGGATGTGAGTTGAAAAATCTGACCGAGGAAAAACTCAAAATAAATTGTGGTAATCTTAAGAAACTTATGTAAAATTGACCTTACCTGTCAGTGGTGGAAATAGTCTCTTGGAAACTAAGGAACCTCTTTTCCAAGCTCTCTCAACCTGAGCTCTCAGTGGAGTCACTGATTCATGACTTTTGGTTACAAATGGTGGCAAAAGCCCCAACCATTGTATGTAATGTACCATGTCTAACATTCAAGCTCTGGTATCCCCAGAAGACTTTTCAGAAGACGAATAATCTTCCCACAAGTTCTAGGTATAAAGAGGGTATATAGGGCTATTTCATTGGTTTCATATATAGGAAATTCATTGGTTTTCATTTGACAAAATCCAGGGGTAAAATCTGAGGCTGGGAGAGAAAGGACTTCAGTAAACAGGACTGTGGTCATTAGTAGCCAGTTTGCCAATTCTTAACATTAGGAAGTTTTCCAGATTTTGGTAGGTCTGGAGTTAGAACCCATTTTCTTCTGTTTACACCAGCATGAAAAAAAGAACTGATTTAGAATATTCCATCTATATAACGCATCTGTGTAGGGGCTTTTCCTGTGTCTTAGAGACAGGATATGAAGAGTAAAAAGCATCTGACAATGAAAAAAAGGAAGAGAAAAAGAGCTCCTCCCGGAGTTCACCAACTATTTTTAGTGGCCTGGCTGCGCTGCGGTTGGGGCCATACTTCATTTAGGGGTAAAGGTACTTTTTACCATTTCCTCATGGTTTCTAGCATCTGTTCTAGCTTCCTTGTCATTCGTCCGAATTATTCTGCAACACTTGGTGATGTATGGATGTGGCTAAAATGAACAACTGTAGTTAATACTGTACTGAATACTGGAAATACACTAGAGAGTAGGTTTCCCATGCTCTTCTCTCTCTCTCTCTCTCTTTCTCTCTCACACACACACACACACACATACAGGTAACCGTGTGAGGTGGTCTGTTAATTGGCTTGACTGTAGTAATCATTTCACTATGTATACATCTATATCAAATCATAATGTCTTACTCCTTAAATATATAGCTTTTATTAGAAAAAAAATTAAGCCTATTTAGGTAGAACGTTGACAGTAATCAGATGCCACTTCAGCTCTTCTGTGTGACCTTGACAGCCACTTAGATTATCTCTAGAAGAACAGGGGCTGACTGATCATTTCCTCCTTCATTTTCTCTGTTCATCTGGGAAAAAAACTTCTGTGAGGGATATTCAGCTATCTGGACTTCACCCAAGCTCTCAGCTACCTTTTTTCCCAGCTTTAGAAGGTTAGAGAAGAGCCACGCTCAGGAGTGTTACGGCCCTTCCAGATCAGAGATGTGTATGCTGAAGGCAGCCCCTTATCAAAGCCACGGATGTTTCTGGTTCCTCAAGTACTATTCACATTTCACCAAGAGCCCAAGTGCATGGCTCGGGGGTCTTTACCCTCCAGAAAGAAAATCTGCCCGTGAATGATATTCCTAGCCATGGTCTCAGAGTTGATCTCCGTAAACTGCATTGCTTTGCTGGGGATGTAAGGAAGAATTTCTCATTCCTCACAGGACTATTTTATATATTACATTTCATTGAAGAAAGGTGCACATATCATGGGGCTTATAGCTGCATGCATTTTTGCAAACCGAACACACCTGGTAACTAGTGCCCAGATGAAGAAACATGATTTCAGTGCCCTAGAAACTCTGCTCATGCTTCCTCCCAGTCCTCAGGGGGTTGGGAGGGGTGGTCCCAACCCCCAAGGATAACAACTATCCTGACTTTTAACAGCAGAGATTAGTTTTACTTAGTTTCATACTTTATATAAATAGAATCATACAGTATATACTCTTTTGTGTCTGGTTTCTGTCGTTCAACATATGTTTGTGAGATTTATTCATATTGTTTTATATGGTTGCAGCTCATAGGACTTTCTCTTGATCTTTATAACTTTTCATCAGTTAAATTATAGTTATTATTAGAGATATGCATAGGATTGCGAATAGCCAATGTTTACTATCCCACTGCGTGAATAATCTCTTTTCTCTCTCCCCTGGGGTCCATTGTAGGCAGAGCATTCTAAGGTAGAAGCTGGCTTGGCTGATCACAAGAGTAAATTAATTCTGTTTTGGCTGGGTGAGGGCCTCTCTGCTTTCTCGTAATGGGCACAGAGGCATTCTGTCTCCGTAACTTAATTTTTTATTCCCTTTTGTTTAAAGTGTGTTGCACTTGAAGAATTAGAAATCCCACTGGTTAAGGTATAGTAATCAGATAAAAGAACTAAGGAATGAGCCCGGCCACACTGTCAGTTAAGTGAAGCTTCCCAGGGCTTGCTTTGCTCTCTCAGAGCAGAGGTCTCTTCCAAGTAACCCTTTCTCTTGGGCTCAACTCTGCTAGCAACTCTGAAACCTTAGACAATTACTTCTTTCTGTGCCTTAGTTCCCTAAAGTTAAAAAAAAAAAAGTGCTTGGCCTATGTGATCTTCACACTGCCTTCAGAATCTAATACACTGTAATTCTATGATGAATTCTGTGATGCCCAATATAGGGTATCCTGTGTTGGGGGCTTCATTCTGGTTGTTGGGCGACCTTTGTTAAATTGTGATAAGGAAACCGGAGCCCTCATGATACAGACAAATAAAAGTAGGTGTGGGTATGGAGAGGGGGCTAGCTTAGGCAATTAAAGACCAAATTTCTTGAGGAATGAAGCAGTGTTTCGGATTCTCTTACCTATAATGGCCAGCAACCAAGAGATGCCAAACAGGAATCCAAGTGTATAAAATAGTTATACCTTTTGTTTTACCTATAAATTCGGTTCCAGCAGCAACAGGGAAATCCACATTTCTCTGGAGACACAGGCTTTAGGAAAGATACCTGTATTTCTGGTTCAGCTATGGACACCTGTGAAAATTCACCTGAGTTTTATGTGAATTTGGATCTATTTCTCACCAGCAGAAGTCATGGGTTTTCCTCCCTTTTTTATTCTTTTTTAAAAAACTCCGTAAAACTTAATGATTCACTAGCAAAGGTTATGATAACAAAACCCACATTTTTGAACCCTTATGTGCTAGGTACAGTATTAAACACTTTATATGCTTAATCTTTACAATAATTCCCTGAAGTAGTTGCTATTAATAGCCCTGTTTTATGAAGGAGGAAACTGAAACTTAGGGAGATTAATCAAAAAATGAGGTGAGGCTAGTATTTAAATCCATTCATCTCACTCTAGAACTTGAGGTTTCCTCCTACATGCTGTGTTAGGACTCGGGGTATGGTGTGCAGAATAGAGGGTGTTCTGGATTTTCTTACTCTTTTTGTTGAACCCAGATATTTCACTTAGTTACAGAATTAACCTAACCTTTTCTCTTGCACACAAGCCTTCAAAAGGTTTGGAGGTGTTAAACATCAACACTGGGTTGTTTCTCCTACCTGGTGTCTGGGCAAGCAGCTGGAAGCTGACAGTGAAATAGGACAGCAGGTTTTTCTCTCCAGGGGCAGGATCGCTAGTAAGGGGGAAACAAAGACTCATTAAATGTGAGAACTGGCCAAAAATCTGGCTCACAGCTAACTCAGCTAATTTGGGGATGTGTCAGGGTGGCTGCACAGTTGGCCCCTCTGTACTACTGAACCCCCTTAAGGGATGCTCCTTGCTGGCCCTCTGGTTTGTGGTTATGTCTGCTGGGACATATTTTACATTTTGCATGAAGCCATGGTGGAGATTCCTTTAGCTAAATATAACATCTAAAGAAAGTAGCCTCCTGTCCACAGCTTAGAAACAGACCCACTTTGTCTAGGACTCCAGGGGAAATGGAGCTCATTTGGTGCTCCTAACATCTCCTTTCGTGTAATGAAAGCTCAGTCTGTCTAACCCCTATTGGAACCAAGGTTTAGGCAAATATTATTGCTGCCACCTTCATTTGTTTAATGTGGTGGCTTCAAAATCAGGAGCCAAACACTACCAAGTTTGACTTCCAGCTCCACATCATCTCTGTGAGAGACGTGTTCTAAAGAATCCCACCAAGAATAGAAATCATTTTTCCCACTTTTTCATTTAAACCAAAGTAAACTTGGGTGTGCTTTTCCCACAGGGGAGAGGACAATCCTGTTCTCCCTTTTTCCTTTCACTTAGCTGGAACACACCAAAAGTACCTCGGACTTTGCTTTTCAGCTCACTGTTTCTAGCCCTTAGTTGCGCATTAGCCTTGGAAGCCAGTCAATTCAGAAAGTCCCAGGACTCTCAATTGCATCCTTTTTTGTTTGTTTGTTTGTTTGTTTTTTTACAGTATTCCAGCTGACTGTACTTTTGTTTTGCCTTTAGTACCCTAAGTTTCCATGGTAGAAAGGTTAAATTGAGCAAGTTAGGTCAGATTCCTGGTAGACCAGTAGTTCAGTAGTTCTCAGTTTTGTCTGTGTGTGAGTCATTGTGGGAGTTTAAAAAAAAAAATCTTTGTGATTTGTGAGACGATTTCTTGGGATGTAAAAAGCATGAACAATAA